CAATTAAGACTGAAGCCATATAAAAGACTGCTGACATTTTATATTTTTTATAAAAATGACAAATCACAGAAAGAGATCTGCTGGATGATGTTAACTTTGCAGATCATTAGCAGGCAGATTCACATTCTCCTACAACCTGAACATCTGACAGTTGGGGAATTTCATAGAAATAAAGTATATATTGCTTGTGTAATAGTGTAAAATAGCTAATTTTTACATTTATGGACTGTAATATACCAAAACCCTCAGCTGACATGAATCAGTGAAGCTGTACTGGTTTATGTGAGATGAAGCTCAGACACCATGTCTCAAAGGTTTTTTGGGTTTAACTTTTGGAATAATCTTTTGGAATAATTCATATACTTCTATGAATAACATGGTTCTCAAAATGTGCATACTTTGGTCAGCGTTTGGTAGCTGGGATAGTTTGAGTGAAGAGTATTTTATTCAATTGGGAAAATATTTTCTATGAATTAATATATGTACTTTTCCAGATTTACTTTTGTTTTTATTAAAAACTGTAAAGGCTATTGACTTATACTGTGAATCTTTTCCACCCTATACACATTGCAATCTCTCAGACACATATTTGAGGTAGGAATATTATTTTTAATAAGTAAATTCATAAAACCACATAATGGAATTCTTATTACAGGCAAAAATTTGAGATACAGTACATGGGCTATAAGCCAAGCCACTACTTGAATATTTTTTCTGCTAAGAAAGTCGGCTTTAGCATGTGTGATTTCCCAAGCCTCAGTGACAAAATGACAGACATTTGTAGTTCTTAATTATTCATAAACCACATCAATGATACTTAAAAAGTGCAGTTATTAGAAAATAATTAAAGAATAACAGTCCATCTATATTACTGCAGTTTGTGAACAAGTTTTCAAACAAAAGGGGTTTTTGAAATTATATTTCAAATTGGATGACCACATATATTTATGTACTTGTGTATTATATTTTAAGGATCTTTTTTTATTATTTTGTTTTTCAGTGCCATGTAAGGGAAATAACAGCTCCCTTCAGTATACCATAATTTACCAGATCTAACATGACAACATCTTAAAAGTGGTCAAAAAGAAGAAAAAGATGTGACGATTATAGAAGGATGCACTATACACTGATACAGGTTTTTCATTGTAGTCTCTTTATTATGAATGATTCATATACCTGCCTTCTATAACAAATTAGAAGAAAAAGAAGTAAAATCATTGCTACATATTATGTCTATTGAAATAACATATGCTTGTTTCATATCTATGCACTTGCACTAGCCCAGTGGTAGAAGGAAATGTGCAAAGAGAAAATGTGCAAAGCTACTCCAAATGAAAGTACATTGTTGCATACAGTTACAGCTTAAATACAATAACTACCCTGTTTGATATTAAGATATTCAGTAAGATTCTCTTTGCTGGTAAATATTTAATAATGCCAAGCTTCTTTGTAAACATTAAGTTTACAATGTAGATGACCACCAATAAAACTATCTATCTGTAAGGGTTCAAAGTGTGTTGATAAGATCATATTCTGATTGTCAACATAATCGAGATTGTGATATAGGAAAGGAATTCTTGCAGGATAAGGTAGCGCTCCATAAGGCTGTAAGTCTTCAGTGTGCTGCATACAGTGGGGGGGACAGACATGTTTACTACTCCTTCACAGAGGTTCTTTGGCTTCACTGGGGCTCAGATCAGGAATGGATAGGAAGTAGGAACCTCTGCAGATGCCGCAGACTCCCAAGACTCGCATTTTAGGGATAAGTCTATCCAGGGCTGATGACTGCTATAGGACAAGTGCACTAGCAAAACCACCCAGATAGAACTCTTAATAATGCAGTTGTGCTATGCTAACCTTTTATACAGGGGAAAATTTAATGACTTGGAATATAAAAAAGCATACCATGGCTCATCCACTTTCACAGAAGCAAGTATTCTCAGATGTTTCAAGCTGCATCTCCTCAGAATGGACAGAAATCGTTATTCACCAGTCATCTTTATGTTGACTACAAAGAGTCAGATCTTGTGAGGTGCTGACTTACATTGTCATGCTCGTTGTCAGTGAGCAGCTGGCAAGGCTGCTGATTGTCTTGCATGAATCACTTTGACTCTTTTGAAGCAACAGACTTGAATTAAAAGTAACCATCACTGCAGAGCTAAGCATAATTCATTATTATTCTACTTTTGCAATGAGTAGTTTTGCAATCCTTTCCTAAAACATACTTCAGAATGGCAGTAAATGCAAAAGTAATCTCAAGAGGGCAGCAGATATTATCCAAAGTTTTCATCCACAGTAATTTAAACAAAATTATCAACTCTCCCCCAAAAGAAGAACAAGAGATAAATTTCTTAAAATTATTGCTATATTTAGCAGCTCGTAACATCACCAACATGCACATTTCTGTGACTTAGACTTAGTACAAATATTTCAAAATACAGATCTGAAAAATGCTCTCAATTTTTATTACAGGCCTATTCAATAAAATATATACCTTTGGTATAATATGTTCCGTTGTATATAGCAAACCATTTTCATTGTCATCAAAAATATACTTTAGCACTTGCGAATTACAGGGGACTTTAATTCCTCAGATAACCCACATATTGGATACAGTATCTTGAACCAGCTCATAAATATGTAGACGTGATACAGATGTACATTTTCTGTAGGAAATGGAAAGTGAGAATCCTAAACTTACTAATGGTTAAGCTACTTTAACTGTCTTTATGCTACTTTCATAGATATATAATAAGACATTATTTTCATTGAAAATATGCTTTAAATAAGGCAATTTTTGTAAGAATTTAAATAGTATTTTTTCTTGCATGAAAAACTCATTTATTTGTAAGGTGGTCATGCCTCCCTTGCTATTCTAAAATCACTACACACAAAGCAATAAAATTACAGAGCTAAGCATCCTCCAAGGATGAAATCACAGTGAAGAAAGCTGTGATATACTTTATGCTGTAAATCATGTTGTATCATATCATATGATGATACCACAATAGAGAGCTGGTTATTTACACAGTGGTTCTGACTGGAAAATGTAAACAAAGATGAGTCAAGCACCTCAGCAATGCATTGACTTGCTAGTTCATATCCAAGGTTTTACAACGTTGTTCATTTAGTTCCGTTGATAACTTGACATGAGGCACCTGTTTTTAAGGTAAGAAACTGGTCAAATGATGAAGTGTCAGTGGGGCTTTCAAGTAAATATGAATCCATTCCTTTTAGTGCATTAGTAAACCAAGGATATACTAATCTATGATCCAAGAAAGATGGAATGCTGTTAGGTGTATATGCAGTTTAAGGAGTTCTATGACAGAATGACTGTTGTTTTCTAAGACATATAAGGTCATGTACAAGAAAATCTCCAGTACAGTAAATAATATTTTAAAATAACTGTTTAAGTAAAATTCACACTTTAACATAGATTAACAGAAGTCTAATGGCTATTCAGAAGCTCTTAGTCCCACTGACATTGTTGGAATTGGATTGGAAATGCTCCAGTGTACTTGAACGTCACCGTAGGTATAAACAATTGAGAATGAAAAGGTATGACAGCTGGAGCTTCTTTCCAGAACTAAATGCTCTTTCTTTTTAACGTCAATTTGAAGGTGAATCCTATTGTTGTGAATTACTTTTCTCTGCCAGAAGACTTCATTATAAAGAAAGCTTCATTGTTGCAGGAGACAGCCTGTCTTGCTATTCTTCCTCACTTTGCACTGTACCTCCCCCTACTGAAGAGGTCCCTGCTGTCTGTGGAAAGTCCTGAGAATCCCATGTTCCTCTTTGTACCACTGCTATAAGTAGTATCTTCTCTTTTCTGTTATTTAAAGGTGTCTAATTGCTCTAGGTTATTACACTATGTTCATAATTGTGGTAAACACCTAATTATTAATTTGAAAAGTTTAGCTGTGGCAGACTGAAAAGTAACTGCTAGCCTCAAGTTATTTTCAGATCAGATTCAGATAGATGTTAAATATTCATCCTCTAGGCGTGTCGCATTTTCCAGAGTTTCATGGGCTTAAGATTCCATTAACCAGACAAAACTGTCATACTCAACTATCACTCCTATTAAATGCATTAATCTTCTTCTCACAGAGATTTCGAACTTCTGCCTTGTACACAAGTGAGATATAACAGTTCTTTCTCACTTATGTTTCTAGGAGGTATTTCCCCAAAACCTCCTCTGGGGCACTTCCTTATTTCATGAGTTACCGCCTCTTCAGAAATAATGGTCGTTTAAATTTCTCTTCCCAACCCTCCTACACCTCTTTTTCATGCTGAAACAGCTTGAACTGATGAATCATGGCTCTTTTCCTTCCTTGCTGTTTATCCTCCTGCCCTTGGAGCTTTGAAGATAATCATTCAGGCATGTTTCTCCTCCTAAAAGCTATTTTAAAATTGAGAAGTCAATTGAGAATGTCATTCCTAGGAGGGCTGATGAGGTTTAATATCAAAAAAAATTATATTCGTGTCCATGTTAGTAGCAAAGAAATATTGACAGAGGTATTTATCAAAAATCCTAATGAATTTTCAATTACCTTGATTTTTCACTTCACATCTTGTAATATATTACATAAAGGTCAGATTTCATTTTTTAAAAGAAGTTTTCAGAGATTTTAGAATCAGGACTGTAACATGGACAGAAAAAGCATGTGGAAAGTGTCAGGAATAGTTTTATGATTTGTTTTACTGAACCAGGCAATATGGATACTTGTGATATAATCTCTTTCTAGGTGCTCATCTCCATTTAACAAAAAAAAGGTAGCCATTCATAACTTTTTATTCCCTCAAGTATATAATAATGTCACTATACAAGGGATATACCATTGTATAATAGGATCTGTATGTCAAGGCTCTGTAACAAGCTTCCAAACACCATGCAAGGAATTTGATCAAAGTGCTTTCAGAGTAGAAGATATATTTCACTATAATATTTAACAGGAGGTCTAATAAGACGGACACTTTTTGTGAAGTGATAATAGTAAGATTCCCACTTTTCAGACAGAGTCCACCTTCACTTGATTGTTGTTTGTAATCAGTGGAGAAGGTTTGCTTCTCATTCTGTCTCCTGCATCATTAGAACTATCCTGGAAAAAAACTTTTGCCGTACAAAAAGTGACAATAATTCTCTTGTATTCTCTTCTGAAGTTCTGGTTCAGGAGTCCATATACTATAGCATTAAGGCAGCTGTTGAAATATGCCATGTAATAACTAGACACAAACAACCACTCTGGAATCCTAGGGATTACAGTTTTTGGGTTGACGGCCACTGCAAGGCCTATAAAGTTCAAAGGAGCCCAGCAGACTGCAAACAGCACAAATACCACAAACATGGTCACAAAGTTTCTGAAGTCATGTGGTTTCAGCCTAGGGTTGTTATCCGGTTTAACCCTTCGCCTTACCTGAATAACGAGGATCCATATTCGCAAGTAACAGAAAGTGACTACGGCTATGGGAAGCAGGAAGTGGAAAAACACAACTGCTATGGTATATGCTGAGCTGACAGACTGTGCAAATGTACAGGAGTAAATCCTGGGGTCATACTGCAGTGATCCCACAAACAGGTTGGGCACGATAGCAACAAATGTTAGGACCCATATAAGAACAATATAGCACAATGAATTCTTGTCGCTGTACAGCTTGTCATATTTGAGACTGTGGCAGATATAGCAGTACCGATTGATAGCGATGCCTGTAATATTGAAGATTGATCCAATGACACTTAGGCCCATCAAGAAGCCACTAATCTGGCAGTGTAGGTATCCCAGTTTCCATCCGTTGTGAAACACAGATGTGAGGACCAGTGGATAAGGGTAGATAGCTACTATCAAGTCTGCAACTGCCAGGCTTACAACAAACACATTTCCTGTAAAATAAATATAAAAAGGCAAGTATTAGTTTTTCTTTTGCTCTTTTCTGTCATTTCTGCTCTCGTTATATTAATGAGCAGCCTGAGTGGAACACTTTAAATGTAATTAGTTTCTGCTTTCTAGCTCAAAATTCATTGTCATATATCATAAATAAGACACTCATTTTTAGTTTAGAAAAGTAGCTTAACTTAAAGATGCACCTTTGAGAAGAAAACTGTCTTTAAGCTTATCTACCATGACCTATTACTTTTATCATGCCATTTATTTGGATTCTTTCAATCACACAGACTTAGAATTCATATCAAATCAACATATTCATAACTTTAAGGCTTGCTTTGGTTTTAAATGGTCTCTCTTGAAAAATCAGCTAAAATAATATTACTGATAAATTTCCAAACTCGCATTTACCTTCTTTATTTAACTTCCTTTCATTACATTAACTAGCCCTTAACTTTTTCAGTCCTGAAATTAAAATCTCTGTTCTCCCATTTTACTTCAAACTTCCATGACTTTAGTATGACTTTTACATTATTCTCATTGAATCTGCTAGCAAGTACATAAATAACTTCTAAGAGTCGAGTTGAACACAGACTCAGTTCTTTTTTCTAAAGGAATGCTCTGCAGTGAAAAAAAGGGATGCTGGACAGTGGCCCAGCCAGTTCCCACACAATACTGACGCCCCATTTTTCTCTGCCTCCAAAATGGAAAATTAAGCAATGAAACATTCTGCTGATTCATTTTTAAACAAAGGAAGATGATATTATCTAAAAACAATAGAATCCAATATGTTTTTAATTCATTTTTTGAGAATAGATTATATTCTCTTTTTTTAATTTCTGAAATGATAATCCATCTGAACGCCTCCCAACCACTCTAATTTCTAAGAAGAAGATCACAGAAACATTGATGTCACTTTTATTCATTTCTTTAAAATAACTGTTACATGTAAAGCTCTAGTTATTCAAGCCCATAAGTACAGAAAGCTATTAATATTATCTATACATGCACATTTGTAAGTATATAAATGCATATATATATAGGCATTTGATATTCTACTTTCTATTTCTGAGATTATTCATGGAAGATGAAATACAAGCTTCTATTGCAACCTGTAATAAAATATATTATTATTTTCAGATGATGTACAATTTTGGTGATAAGCCAAGGTGGGCTCGGTGAATTGTTTTATGCATTTATTTTGAGCATACAAAATATAAACAGAAAAGAGCAGGTTAGTAGGAAAGGAAAAAGTACCTGTGGACCAATAGGGCATTTTAGCTGCTAAAATTCTCAAAACAACTTTTTGGATATATTACTTCAAATATCTTCAAATGCATAGTTCCTTACCAATCTCAGGCTTTAAATGTTCAGTTAGAAATGTTCAACCTGCAAATACTGCCAGAGGAAAACACAGAAATTATCTTTCTCTGGATGCTACCTACACTGTTGTGTTTAAACTTTGATACATGCACAAAGTACCACGTTTGATATTTATACTATTGGCACCTGAAACAAATGGCCTCAATTAAAAGACTGCTGCACTAGTTTTCCCTTGATTTAGTATCTGGATTTATAAATAACTTTCTTGTGATAGTGTCTGTAGCTGTTTCGTCTTTGACTGGGGATTCACTGCCAGACTGAAATGTGCTTATCCTGAAGCCTTTGGCAGAATTCCAGATCATTTCAGCACAAACATCAGAGGTTCTTTAAGCAGAAGATGGCACAGGAAAAAAACACTGCTTTCGGAATTTATTCTTGACGTAGTGGCAACTGATACAAGAACAAGAGACAGTATGGAACTTAGAGCTCTTTGTTTATCTGATGGATCAAGAAGTGGAAAGTAAATGAAAAGGTGCTGTTGGCAGGTTGTTTTTTCCCCTGTCCAGAATATTGCAGGATTGATGAAATGGTAGCATATAAACTTCAGACACTTCATAAAATGTAATACTTGAAAGAATTCCATTTTTATTTGCTTATTAACTTTCTACTTAGCTGGAGACTGCCCATCCTAAACTTCTTTCTCTGGCATCCACTAAAATTTCTGCTCCTGCTCACCATTATTATTGACAATATTGTTATTATTTACCACTTCAGCCAAATGATAAGGACAAAGTTAAAAGGGTTTTCTTCCGTTTAAAAGGTGTTGTATTGAAAGGTGACAAACAGCACACATTTCTCTGAATAGTTTTAGCATTGGAAACAAATGAATTTAGGAAAAGTAGGGTCTCTGAATCAACCAATTTTCAGGCTTCCATAAACTCATGCACCATGGTTGTTCCATGGTTCTTTTTTCAATTGGCTGCAGTAGAATGGCAAGCTGAAAAACTTGGAAACACAAGCTGTTTCTTGTGAAAATTGGAGGCTACCAGGAGGCTAGCAGGATATCTTAGTAGCCTGTCTTAAAAAAAAAAAAAAATAAAAGAAAGAGAAATTATGAGTTTGGAAATCAAGTCCCAAGCTGGCAGCTCATGGTTTGCATGTCAGCTGAAAGAATAAAATGTTATGTGTGAAAACTGCTTGGAAACCAGATAGCTGTTTGCAGACAGGACTTTTAATTTGCCTTTCAGGAAGGGTTATTTTAAAACTTGAGCTCAGATGTATTTTCCTTATGAGCATGGAAATTTTTTTGCTAAGACAGAAAATTCAAGTAGGAAAAAAAAACTGCATTAGTATGATTGTTGTATATTTTGAGGTTCATTGCTTCACACCCTGAAGATGGATCTGAAATGAAGTTGAGCTTTCCTATGTTATATACTAAACAATTTAAAAACACTACCCTGGCTTTAGGTACCATGATCACTGAAAAATATTGCAAACATACGAAATTCTCATATTATCATGGCATATTGTGAAATTGAACTCTTACATTTGTAGAATACTTGGTATTTTAGAGGTGAGTATCACAAAAATGTATATAGGGAAGGGTTAATTTTTATCTTCAGATTTAGGTTTGAACAGAATGCTATAAATGAAGCCTGAAGTTCTATACTGAACCCTTCAAAAAGGCCACAAAATCAAAATCTTGAATAACTCTTCCTTGAAGAAAAAATATTTGTCCTCTTTAGAGAGTAAGATCACATTACTGTGAAAAAATGTGATTTGTGTACCTAAAGAATATATTATTATTCATTAACACCCGTTGGCTGAACTGAGAAGGCAGAGGTTGAATTTCTTGAATTTGACATAAGCCAAATAAGCTTTAATAAATTTAAGCAAATGTTGTGCAGTGGATGTATGTGGGAAGAAAGATAATCTACTGGTAACCACCTTGAGCGGGTTATGTTTTTAGATGCTGTCTAAAGCAATGTTCCACTAAATATTTTCACCACCCTTACTGAAGAAGAAGCCTTTCTGCTCAGCAAACACATAGCCACATCAGATCTACCTGCTGAACATAAAGCTGCATTAAAGCAGCAGAAAACAAACAAGTGTTTTCCTAGACAATTTGATTTTTCCAAGAGCACGATACAACATTAACTGAGTGTAAAAATCATGACCCTGGCAGATTATAAGAAAAATGCTTATGGCACTGCCAAGATGTCAAAATGAATACAAGAGCCTCAAAAAGAACTACATGATGCAGTTGTACCAGTAGCAACTTGTATTTGCAGAACATATACAAATTACTATGTGGGTTGTTATTCCCAAGATTTGGTGCTAAGTATGTCCTGAATGATAATTAAAAAGTTTCCAGAAATTTTTAGCAACTTAAATATGTGCAGAATATTAATGGAAAAAGATTAAAGTTACAAAGACTAGGTGGTGCTGAATGCCTGCCACAGAATTAGAATGGAGGGCTGAACACTTTGCCAGCAGGGCAAAAATTACTAATTCTTCTGGAAATTTTAGAACTGAGGGTTATGTGGTATACAGAGTTCTTTCCTCAAGTGTTAAAACTGTGAAGTACTTTTACTCTTCTACTAAAATATTTAGACTGGGAAAAATAAACTACTGTAAAAAAAGGAAACAGCTCATGTATGGAAAAAACAGCAATGTTTTAAAGTATTAGGGGGCTTCCAGCTAGAATATTTCGTACTCAGAAAATCTGAGTGAATTTTAGAAAATATCTCGTATTGCTAGCAACATCAGTAAAGCTACTTTTTCTTCTTTCTTTCACAAGTTATTTCTATACCTTTTAATATTGGTTGCCAAGTCACTATTCTATTCACCTTTTTTTCTTGGATAAATAATGCTGTGGCTTCTTACAAAAAATGCTTTCTACAAGCCATCATGTTTTCATCATGCCGTTGCATTTTGAAACACATACCATCATGCTTCCATCAGTGCTTCAGGCTGGACCAATTTTAGGTGAGGGTTTTGGTCTTTATGCCAGCTGGAGTTGCTTTATCTTTTAGGTAAGACTAAACATCAGTTATTGAAATCACATACAAGGATTTTGTTTCGCTGGCCACTGTGTCAGACCTCTAATGTTTACTTGCTAAGCATATCTTTAAAGAAAGAGGATAGTGAAATTGGTTCAACACTGCTAATATTTAGAAGATCAAGCTTAGTTTCTAATGATCAGATTCGTGTCATTCTTGTCTACTGTCATTTCACCACTTGCAAGATATTGCCAGATATGTTAAGCAATTTCCAATTATTTCACAACTAGCCTTAATTAGGAGGATATTTTCCTATAAATTCTGATCATGTTTTGTAGACATTAAACTGTATTTAAATATCATACTGCCAAGTTTGTTATGTACACAGTTTTTACACATCTAATGGCACCAAAAAAGTTATTTACATTTTTAAGCACTGGTTCCTGTCTAATACTTCTACCAATCTTCCTCAAGGATAGCTCACAGATTTTTTTGGCATTATGAAATCTTTCTGATTAATCTAGCCCTTGCTCAGGGTGTTAATTTAAAAGCTCATGCTCCTAGCTGAAAACAAGTCTATTATAGCTGCTCACCAGTGAATGTCTTCAGCATCAGAGACTTTAAATGTGATACCTCATAACTGGATACAGCATCAGGGAGATGAACTTCTTCCT